GTGGTGTTCGTGGGCAACTTCCTTCGGATCAACACCATCTCCATGAGGCTCCTGGCGTATGCCCTGGACTACTGGTCAAAGGGACAGTTAAAAGCACTTTTCTTGGAACATGAGGTGAAATTTCCTTTTTAAAATCTCTTTCCTCTCATGGGAAGATGCGAATGCTTTGGAAGCAGCCCTGTGGAGCTGTTGGTGGCACCCACAGCACAGCAGGTCCTCAGGGTCGGGTCAGGAAAAACGGGGATATTGTTCCAGTAGCTGATAGTGAAATTGTTTACCACCAATTTCATCTTGTCTGGGAACTTTGAAACCATTTGCTCAGTCTAGATGTGTAACTGTTTTGCAGCTCTGCTTCCTGATACAGCCATTGAAGTCAGATTTTTGTATTTTATTTTATTTCTTATTTTATAGTGTACCTACCTGCAGTTGTGTCTTTCCTTTGTATACACCATATGTGTAATAGCCTGGGGAAGAGAAGGCTCCAGGGAAACCTTTGGGCACCTTCCAGGGCCTAAAGGGGCTCCAAGAGGACTGAAGAGGGACTTTGGATAAGGGCCTGGAGGAACAGGACAAAGGGGAATGGCTTCCCACTGCCAGAGGGCAGGGTTAGATGGGATATTGGGAAGGAATTCTTGGCTATGAGGGTGGAGAGGTCCTGGCCCAGGTTGGGCAGAGAAGCTGTGGCTGTCCCTGGATCCCTGGAAGTGTCCAAGGCCAGGTTGGACGGGGCTTGGAGCAACCTGGGCTAGTGGAAGGTGTCCCTTCCCATGGCAGGGGGGAGTTGGAACTGGTTGATCTTTGAAGTCCCTTCCAACCCAAACCATTCCATGATTCTGTGGCTGTGACTGTTGTGTCAGGTGTGTGTCCACATCTGAGTTCTCAGTGATATTCCCGTTGTTCCTCAGGGTTACTTCGGCGCGGTCGGTGCTCTCCTGGAACTCCTGGACTCCGCCTGACCCCCTGCAGACTCTGTGTTGGACCCACGGATTCGGGGCACTCCCTGGGCTGCTGGTTTGGAGGTCACTGAACCCACGTTTCACCTGCTCAGACTGTTCTCTGGGGTGCCCTGTGGGGTCAGCCCAGGGCTGGGTGTTTGTCTGTGAGAGCTGAAATCCATCTGGGATGCCAGCGCAGGTTTGTTCCAAAGGACGTGCGTGGAAAACACTGACTGGATGTGGGGGTGTATGGGAAGGTCTGTGGGGCAGTTCAGTCACATGAAATTGCCCTTTTTAGGTAGTTTACTCCATGTTTAATGGTGGTGACAAAGCAGGGAATGGGCACTCTGCTCCTCCCACCGGGATCCCTTGGAGTGCCGAGTGCCCAGGTCACAGTTCTGTGTTCACAGTCAAAGCTGTCGCGTTCTCCATGTGCCGGGAATGGTCTGGGAAGAGGGAAAAGCATCAGCATTAGCCCTGCTGTGTAACTCCCTACAGAGCACTTGATCCGTGGTGGCCTGTGGGACACCCTGTGCTGGCAGCCAGGCTTTGTTCCTGTTCCACACGTCCTTATCTCTGTCCTAGAGATGGAAGGTACGGCACAGCACGGATCTGTGCCTTGGGGGGATTCCCATTTCAGCCTCCAGCACTCCTACACAGCCCCTTTGGGACAGTGTTAGGGGTGTCTGCCTGTCAGCCTCCAACCTTGAGATCTAAAAGCAAATTTGAGGATGAAACGGTGGGATTTGTTGTTTGTTTGTTCAGGATTTTCCCTCCGTTATCAAACTTGGCTGCACAGAACTCCACCAAAGAGACGCTTCCTTCGGTCACACTCGGATCTCTGTCATGTTCCATGTTGCATTTATTAATGGCTGCACTCCTGGTGTTTTTGGGGAATCCTCCCCCTTCCCACATGCGTGCTGTGCTCCCGGTTTTCCCTGTGCCTGCTCCCACACAGCCCGCGAGCGAGGTGGAACCCCTGTGGAAGCTGCACCCTTGGGATGGGGGTTGGGATGGATCCTGCACGCTCAATAAACGCTCTCTCAAAGTAACGAGGTATCTGTACCTTCCCTCAGGATGGGAACTCACGGAGACACGGCTTTGGAGCTGCTCTGGCTTCCCAGGGAGCAGCTCCGTGGAGCAGCTGCCCTTCCCTGAGCAGGGGAAGCTGTTCAGATCCTTCACATCAGGTCACACTTGTCGGGCTTTATCCCAGGATATCGGAATGACCATCACCCTGACTCCAACACACACTTTAAGATCCTGGTTTCCTTCCAGAGAAGCTGAATTCCAGCTCCTCTGATCCCCACACCCCTCATGAGCCCAGGTGGAAGGGCTGGGAGCTTGTAAGTCCCATCCAGCTCTGCCCATTGCTGCATCCTGAGATGGGATCCTTGTGTGGTGCTTCCCTCTGGAAAGGGAAGAAACTCTGGATTCAGGAGGTGTTTGCTTTGCTGGTTAGATCAGTGTGGTGCCCCTGTCAGCTCTGCTGGGTAAGTCCAGGCCATGGACACGGAGTGGAGCATCTCCCAAACCTCAGCTGAGTCTGGGCTGGAATCTGGGACACAGCCATGGATTTGACAACAGTAAAATAGGGGGAAAAGAGCACAGAGCTCACATGGAAGGTGATCTGTGCTGGATGGGAAAGAAAATGTGCTTTTCCTGCAGTGTAACAGGTTTTGGTTGTGTCCTGCTCTGTATTCCATAATGGGGTGCTTCAAAGGTGAGGGCTGGGAGCAGGATCATACCGGTCATGGGATGGTTGGGGCTGGGAGGGACCTTAAAGATCATCCAGTTCCACCCCCTGCCACGGGCAGGGACACCTTCCACTGGACCAGGTTGCTTCAAGCCCCATCCAACCTGGCCTTGGACACTTCCAGGGATCCAGGGGCAGCCACAGCTTCTCTGGGTGAGTTGTTCACTTTCTCATTTATTCTTCATTTCTTACAAAATCACACAAAAGGTGCCCAAACTCAGTGCATTAAAAACAGCTCCACTTCCCAGGTGCTGCCTGAAGGGTGTCCAGGCTCGGCTCTTTCTGTACCACACAAAGTCTAACACACACACACACACCCACACACACACACACACCCACCCCAGCTGCCGCTTTGCCCGCCCTCACGGCCAAAACTCATGGAAAACTGGCTTTTTGGAATGTCTGTGTGCCTGGGACCTGTGTGGCCCCTTGGTGTATCAGCTGGGCTGGGCTGGGTGCGTGGGGAGGGTGTGAATCCTTGGGATACACAGGGGAAAGGCTGGGCTTTGTTAAAAGCAGGAGCTGAGGTCTGGGTATGGCAGAACCACCTTGGCTGTGGAGAGCTGGGAAACCTCTGCAGGAGTTCCCAGCACCAATCCCACAGCCTGACCCACCACAGCCCCTGCCCCCAGGCACTGGTGTCCCTGGGCACAGCATCCCGTGGCTTCTACTGTGTTCATGTAACTCCTTTTTCTCTGGATTTGGAGTAGATCCAAGCACGATCTGATCCCAACACCAAAGTCCCTGGCATAGTGTTTGTCCTTTTTTTTTTTTTTTTTTGTAAACGGCTTGTTTTTTTCTTCTTGTAATAAAATATCACAGTTATTTTTTACATGCTTTGAAACCCTTGTTTGCTTCCTGTCTCGTTCTTGGAGCTCCAGTGCAATGGGACAGACGTTGGTGGGAGTGAGCAGGAATGTGCTGGGGGAATTGGGGTTTTAGAACCTGATTGAAAAGAATCATTGGCAATCTTTGATTGTTCTTCCCTCCCTGCCTGTTCCAGGCTCTGGGAATCAGGCGTATTTCAGAGCATGTTAAAGGAGAGGGGGGGAAAAAAACTTAAGAGCATTATTCTGGGGCAAATTGCAGCATTTTTGGGTTTGATTAAATATTTGCTGATTGTTGCTTTGGCCTTTGATGTAGGAATGATACGGATGGGATTGGAGGTGGAGGTGCAGCATCAAGCCAGAGCAGGAGCTGTGGGGTGGAAGCACCAAAAATAACTGTTTTGTGCAGCTTGGTGTGAGATCCAGACTTTGTCCCAGCAACAAGAATTATCCTGCAAGATCATCATCCCAAAATGGCTGGGAGGGCAGCCAGTCCCTGTGGATTCTTTTGGAGAAGGTGAACAGTGGAGGAAAGGCTTTAAGTTGAAGAAGGGTAGATTTAGACAGGATTTTTAGGGAGAAATTCTTCCCTGTGAGGATGGGAGGCCCTGACACAGGTTGGGCGGAGAAGCTGTGGCTGCTCCTGGATCCCTGGAAGTGTCCAAGGCCAGGTTGGACGGGGCTTGGAGCAACCTGGGCTAGTGGAAGGTGACCCTGCCCATGGCAGGGGTTGAAACTGGAAGGGCTTTAAGGTCCCTTCCAACCCAAAGCATCCCGTTCCTGTGCGATCTCCAGGTGGGATGCGGTGCCGGGAAGCAGCTGGCACTAGAGGGCAGCAGCCCCTCGCGCCGGGCCAGGGTGGGGGGACAGCGGGACAGGGACAGGACAGGGACAGCAGGACAGGGCATGGTGGGGTTCCTGCTTCCTCCTCCACACCAGGGTCCTGCAGGAATCCCACCCCGGGATGGCTCCAGCTCAGCCACCCCCGTGGGGACAATCCAAGGGGATTTTTCCACCCGTCTGGTCACACCTGGGGGAAGAGCAGGGATGGAACGAGGTGAGCGGCTCCGAGCTGCACCCCAGGAGATCCCATAGCACACAGGCTGGGAGCTGAATCCCCGAATCCTATGGAAGCTTGGCCTTAGGGAGCTGGGCCGGAATTTGGGCTGGGAAGGTTGGTTTATGGAGGAATATCCTCTTCCTAAGAAGGGAAGCCCAGGCTGTGCCTGGAACCCTCCAAATCTCCCTTGGCTGGGGATTTTGGGATGCCCTCTGGGAGTGGTGTCCCCATCGGCAGTGGCCGGGAGGGATGATCTGCACGGGGATAGGGACATGCTGGGGCAGGGAGACATGGACAGCAGGATCCCCAACCCCAAACAAGCCCTTCTTCCAGCCCCTCTGGGGTCCCACTCCCTTTGGAGACATCCCCGTGGTGACACAGGAATAAGGGATGGGGGGGACAGACCCCCTCAAACACACCCCCGCTTCCAAAACCTGCTTTTATTTACATTTCAAGTCAAATCACATGCGAACTCTTGGTTTGTTTGTTTTTTTGTTGGTTTTTTTTGTATGTTTTTTTTTCCTTTCCTTAAGAAGAGTGTGATTAGCAAAAAAGACGCATTATTAGAATTTCCAAATAGCAATTAAATATACAAAAATAGAGCTTACAAAAAAACCAAACGAACAAGAGGAAAAAAAACAAAAACCAAAACAGCGAATGTTTTAAAAAATATTCTGCTGCAGAATCCGTAGTGTACAAACACGTCTATGAGGCTCCACGCTCCATAAACAGTCCTGGGAGGAATTTACGGGATGGGGGGACGGCACCCGGAGCACCCCCAGCCCTGCACCCGGGAAAGCCGCTGCCGTGTAATACTGACACCCCCCCCTCCCCAAAATCCAGGGAATACGAGTTGTGAGGATGGCGGGGGACACCCGGATCTGTGGCTGGAGAGGTGAGGGGGTGGCCCAGCTCCCCACCATGAGAATGGTGGGTTTGGGGGGCTGCCCAGAGACCCCCAGGGCCAGGCTGGAAGCAATGGGATGATCCCAAAAGCCAGGATTTTTGCCTGCCCCCTCCATGCCATGGCTCTCACTGCTATTGGGTGACACCAAGATGGTGCCCATTCCAGGGACTCCTGAGGTAGCCGAGGAGGGGGACAACCACCCCCAGGCAGGGCGGGTGGGGAATCCAAACCCAGCAGACCCCACACAGCCACCACCCGCTGCCCCCCGGGGGTGACACCGGCGCTGAGGGGGCACCCAACCGCACGATCCCGGGGGGCAGACCCCATTTCCTGGTGGGAATGGCAAAGGCAAAGGAACCAAAGGCAAAGAGGAGGGAGCAAGAACCGGCCGTGGTGCTCCAGGGTCCCCCCAGTGTTTGGGGCACCGTCGGCGGGCGCGGGAGGCACCGAGAGCTGGGGGAGGACGTCGAGGCGTTCCAGGTGCCACCGCGCTGCTTCCCGGCGGCCGCGGCGCTGGAGAAGGGGTGTGCTGGAAGAAGGATGTGGTGCTGAGGATCCCGAGCCCCCTCCTCACCCCGGCAGAGGAACCGAGCCTGGGCTCGAGGGTCAGGCCCTTCATCCGTCGGGATTTGGGGCTCCCCGGCTGCGTCCCCGGTGCTTTGGCTGTGTCCGAGTGCCGCGGGCGGGAGCGGCCCCGGCCCGGCCCCGGAGGGCACTATACGATGTTCTGGGCCCCGGGCAGGGGGCCCTGGGGGGGGCCGGGATCCGGCTTCCCGTGGAGCTGTGCCAGCTGCAGCACCGGCATGTTACACAGCGGGCACACCTTCCGCACCTCCAGCCACTTGATGAGGCACCTGCGGGACACGGGGGGACACCGGCGTTAGTGGGGGCACCTGGAGTAGTGGGATCACACCTGGAGTAGTGGGATCACACCTGGAGTAGTGGGGACACACCTGGAATAGTGGGGACACACATGGAATAGTGGGGACACACATGGAATAATGAGGACACAAGTGGAATAGGGAGGACAGACCTGGCATTAGTGGGAGGCTGCAAAAATCCCCCCCTGAAACCCACTGACCCCTCCCCCTGGGGCTTTGCTGCTGCCTCCAATTTTTAATTCACCATTTGGGTGTCTTTATATTTTATTGGGGTTTTGTGTGTGTGTGTGTGTGTATAAATACATGGATTTTGTATAGCTAGGTTTTACATGTATATATATATATATATATAAAATTTATGTTTATAAAATAGATATAAAAATTTATACACGTACAAAAATTAAATAAAATATATACACTAAAGATGTCTATGATACATAAAAATATACATTGAAATTATACATAAGCTATGAATAATATACATAATCAGATATATAATGTATATATAAATTAATGAAAATATAAAATACGTGAATAATTATATATACTATAATACCATTACATGTTATATATTCTATTATATAATTATATAATATATAACATATACATATAGAAATATACAAAACATACAATACATGGATAATAATATAAAATAAAAATAATATAAAAAACACATGCTGTATAAGTAAATATAAAAATGTATAAAAATTATTATAAATATATCTATATTATATAGTATAAATATATATAGTATATATACTATGTGTATATATACTATTTATATATGTGTGTACATATATATATGCATATATATAGAATATATAGTATATATATTATATATGCTCTCTATATAGTATATTATCTATGTATATATAATAGAATATTACATAGTATTGGATAACAAATATATATAATATAGGTAGTATATATAATAATATATAACACACATACTGTTATTGTATAAAACACAACATTATTATGTAGTAATGTAAATTTTAGTGGGTTTGCTTTATATAAACCACACATATATAAAATATATATATTTACATTTTTCATGGAATTACAGACTGAACTGGAAGGGATCCATGAGGATCACCAAGGCCAACTCCTGACCCAGCATGGGGCAACCTACAAGTTGAACCCCAGACCCTGGAGCGATGCCCAAATGGTCCCTGCAGATCCCTGGGGAGCTGTTACCGTGGTTCTGGGGATCTATTTTATAAATTTATATAAATTTTATAGATGTAAATACACACACACAAGGGACATGAATAGCTTGGAATATGTAAAGTGTGTATATATGTCTATATATACATACATATATATCTAAAAATATATATATAAATGTGAAGCACTTTTGCCAGCTGCTGATTGTATCTTTGCTGCTCCACATGCTTTAATTCATTCAACAAGGGGTTGTGATTCCTGCCCCTGGAATGGGGGTGGAAAAAGCCCCCAGGGGAGGAGTAGCAGTACCAGGAGGCCTCAGGCCAGGAGCCCCCCAGCCCCAATCCCAGTGCCCACACTTACTTCCTGTGGAAGGCATGTTTGCAGGGACAGATTCCCAGCTCGTCCTTGGGCTTGAACTCCTCCAGGCACACGGCGCAGATCTGGAAGGGTTGGGATGCAGAGGGAAGGTCAGTGGTCAGGAAGCAACGTTTGCACATAAAAATACACAGATGGCTCTGAGCCACCCAAAATCAGAGAATCAAGGAATGGTTTGGGTTGGAAGGGACCTTAAAGATCATCCAGTCCCACCCCCTGCCATGGGCAGGGACACCTTCCACTATCCCGGGCTGCTCCAAGCCCCGTCCAACCTGGATGAGACAGCCACAGCTTCTCCTGGCAACCTGTGCCAGGGCCTCACCACCTGCATCAGAGGGGTGAAATCCTCCCTAAAACCTTCCCAAATTTTACTGGCCAGGCTCAGCCTGGAGTCTCCCTTTCCTGGCAGAAGGGACCCTGGAGACTTCCCAGAGCAACAGCCACGAAGCTGGGATGTGTTTGATGTGCCAGGAGCTTTTAGGGTGCAGGGGGATGGACACTGCTGCTGTCCCCAGGCCTGAGCTGCATGCACAGGGATAACTCTAGGAACAGGAAAAGGCAAAGGGTGCATCTATCCCAGGGCTGGGAAAGCTGGTGGCTGTTTTCCCAGCAGGCAAAAGACTCAGCTGAAAACTCCTTCCCTGCTTAGTCGTGACCCATTTTGGATATTCTTGGAGATTTTGGGTATTCCCGGCTGGTTTTCCCAGCCCCCTCGGCCCGGGATCTGTGTCTGTCCACAACAAGGGCCAGGCGCAGCTGCCGGGACCATCCCCCAAGGAACACACACATCCCGAGCTCCCCCAGGGCCTGGGAGAGGCGGAATGATGGAAAAAGGGGAAAACCAAACCCAGAGATGGGGGGAAGGGCTGGCCCCCCCAGGGCTCCGGGTGGCCGCCCCGTCATGTTGGAAAATTCCCACCCCGTGCTCTGCTTTCCAGAAACACTTACTGTAAAGGCCAGGATCCAAATGCCCAAAAAGGGATATTTTGGAGCAAAACCCTTCCAGCCTTTCGCAAACCCCAGGGAAGAGCCTGAGCTGCTCTATGTCCTTCCCCACAGACTCCTTGTCCTCCCCAAAAGCTGGGAGAGCTGTGGAGAGCTGGGAAGGGATGTAGAGGAGGAGGGACGGAGCAGGACAGAGCGTTACTGCTGCTGTTCCCGACTCTGGCACATTCCCAAATCCCTCCTACAACCCTGGGAAGTGCTTTGAAGTCCGTTTGCCGACAAAAAAAAAAAGCACTGCAGGTCGATTGCAGGGAGGGGATCAGAAATAGGGGCCTCCAGCAGGGACTGCTCGGAACCCTGGGGCCCTTGGGATTTACCCCCCGGCCGCGGGGAGCGGAGGGTGAGGATAAAACGTGGGATGGGCTCTGCCCAGGGAATTAAAGTAAAATAAATAGTGGCTTATAAACAACTGGAGCTGGCACTGAGCAGATGAGTGGCCTCGTGCCCAGGACGTGGGTGGGCATTTCTGTTGTCTTTAGGGGAATAAATAAATCCAGCCCGTGTTTGACGTGGGATTCGAGCACATTCCTCCTCAACTTCAGCGGGAAAAACGGGCTGTAAGTAGGGACACTCAGCCCCAAAAGCCTGGAAGATCATGGAGAACAACGGAGGTGTCTCAGACCTCACGGGGCAGGGAGGGAGAGGTGGATCTGCCTCTCCCAGGGGCTGGTGGAGGATGTTTATCCCAGACTCCAGTTTTCCCTGCCCAGAGTTGCGCTGGATATCGTCACGCTCCGGAGGGGACGTCCCCGCCCAGGGACACTGTTTATCCAAGGCCCAGCTTTCCTTGGCCTCCCCTTATCCACAGCTCCTTATCGCTGCCATAATAATAAGGCAATAAATAATAATAATGGTGCAGTGAAAGCTCGAGGGGAGCCAAGAGGAGGGAGGTGGTCTAATCCACGCCTTTGCAGAGGTGCTTTCCTCCTTTCCAAAGCACACCTGGCTGTGTGCCCTGCTCCCAAGGGAGTTAAATTTGAGGATTTTCCCCCTCTCCAGCGTGAGGAAGAGGAGGGTGAGGGAGCCTTTGCTGCCCAGGATGTGCTCACCTCGTGGAGGTTCAGCTCCTTCACCTTCTCCTTGAGTATAACCTGCAAGACAAAGTGCTGGGGTCAGGACAGAGCTGCTGCTGCGAGCATTCCCAGGAAAAATCTCCATAAAGAGATGCAGTTGAGTGTCCCAGTAGAATTGGGAACCTCCCAGCAAACCTGGCACCACCAGGGAGTGCGTGGGGCCTCCACCCCTGAGCAGGGACAGGAGGAAGGCAGTGCTGGCACAGACAAAACCACGAACACAAGGACCAAATCCAGGAGGTCTCTTCCCAAATTTAACCCTCCTGGGCTCCCATACTCTGCCACAAGCCCCTGCATGGATATCTGCCACTTCATTCTCACTCCATCCAGGCTGAACACCTGCAGAGGGTCATAAATCCAGGACAACGGTTTGCTACCACCCTGACCCCACCCAGTTTCCTGCTTGAACAACGGATCAAAGACAGAAAAATCCCATCAATCCTGGAGAAAACAGGACGTGGAAGCAGCAACTTGACACCCACCTCTGGGCCCTGTTTATTTTAACTGGGTATCATGGGTGTCTGCAGGGTAGAGCTGGGATTGCCAAAGGGACGTGGAGCTGTTCCCTGGGAGAGCCCTGTGGGTTCGGAGCAGCCGGGTCCGACCCTGGGAGCAGATTCAGACCCCACAAAACATGGTTTGGTGGCTGGGGATGTTCCCACTGCTTGGCAGAAAACCTGGAGACCAGCGGATGAGCGGGTGAGGGATGTCCTGGAGGGCCCAGCTGGTGGAGAACAATTAAATCACCAGGGACAGAGATTGTTACAACTGCTCTTCCAGGGCCAAAAACCTCCCGAGGAGAGGATCAGCACAAGGAAACCTGATGGAGTGGCTGCTCCAATGTGCATTTGGCACTAGGCACGAAGGGAAGGAGAGGGAAACTTCCTGAGGGTCATCTCACCTGTTTGTAGGCGTAAAGCTCTTTGTGTGCCTGGTGCCTGAGCCTGCAAGGAAACCAGGGAGAAACGTGAGGACAGGCAAAAAAAACAGGATTACTGTAACACCTCAAACGTTTCCCTTCCCTCCTTTCCAGATCTAATATATTAATTTTTAATTTTTCATTTCAGAACTGAGAATGGCCACATGAAACAACATGTTTAAGAAACATCCAATTTTCCCTGTTGCTGGGAAGGGAATGTCTCCATCCCAAAGCACACAACTGTTCCCCTGTTCCTCTTTTGAGGACATGCAGACATCACCCACACTGTTAAGACCAGTAAAAGCTGATGGGTAAATCACAAGCTGCCACAAATCTCCCTCAGTTTCCAACCACTTCTGCTGCCAGCAATTCCTAGACTGGACAGAGCGCTGTTTTCAAAGTGATGGGGACTCAGACCTGAGGAAAGCTCCACTCCTACTCCAGTAAGGGTGGGAAAGGAGACCTCCCTGCCCCGAGGTTTCCCACCATCCTGCTGCTTGGGCAACGTTGAGTTCCTCAAACTCAGCGTTATCCTCTCAATTCTACAATCAGTTGAACAACATCCACTCCCAAGCAAATCAGGGGATGGAGATGAATGGGATGAACCTATTCCAAGGACACCTGCTGCAGTGGGAAGTCCAGCTGGTGGCAGCAGGAATTTGAGGCCACAAGCAAAGAGCTGGTTCCATCCCCTCCCTCTCCAGACTCCCCTTTCCAGAGCCAAAACCAAGAGCAGCCTGTTTTCCACAGCCCAGGGCAGCGCTCCACAGGCATCCACTGGCTGGAGAAGCCCATTATGATCCCAAAATAAATACATTTAAAATAAAAAAATAACTAATATTTCCTCTCATTACCAGACATGGCTCTTAGTGAAGTGCTCTGGAAGCTCAGGAGGGAAGACATCTAAGGTAAAGAGTTGGCCAAGGACTTTCCATAAGGAGTCAGCGTGTGGCTGCAGGGCTTGGAGAGCTGTAGGAGTATTTTCCCCAGCCAGTCCTCACTGTGAATTCAGAGGGAAACCCCCTTGCCTGGAATTTAATTTCTCCGAAAATATTCCGGGGGCTGTCTCAAACCCCTGGCTGAGCTCGTGGGGGTTTTCCAATCCCGTCACGCCGCAGTGGGTGAGTTATAAAAATAGGATGGAAAAATATATCCTTGTGCTCAGATCTCCCCCTAAAATGCTGGCCTTAAAAGTTGAGGAATGGGTAAAAACACACCTTAATGCTGCAGAGAGAGATGGAGAAAGTTGGCTCCTGAGTCCCAAATTTTATGGGGAGCCATTCCTCCTGCTCCAACAGTGCTGCCTGGCAGGAACCTTCCTGCAAAACCATGGAAAACACTGCAGCAGGCAGGGAAGGGGAGGAGGAGGAGGAGGAGGAGGAGGAGGTTGGGGTCGCATCCCTCTGCCAGTGACCCCGAGCAGAAACATGAGCAGAAGATGTAGGAACAATAGAGAAAACAGGATGAAACCGGCCCAATCCGCAGGGATCCGGTGGCTGGGAAAGCAGTTATGAAACACAGATGGAGAGAGGCACGGCGTGCGGCTGCAGACCACATACAACGGGAAAACTCTCCCGGAATGGGACGAAACACCCGCCTGACAGATCCTTGGCCACCAAGGATTTGGTGAGCCAAAGCCACTGGAGTATCTGGACCAGCAATGGGGAAGAAGGAGCCACCTGGCCCTGGATCTGTGCAGCTTTGTGCTGTCAGCACAGGCACTATGATGCCAAGGGTTGGTGCTGAGCTAGACAGGGAGTTTTTCCCAAAAAATCCCTCCCTGGAGGTTATGGGGAGCAGCACGAGCACATCTGGTGCCGGAGCGTGCGAGCTCTGTCCGCTCCTCCACACTTCCCTTTCAAAGCCAGGATCCAGAGCCAGATGGATCCTGGTCAGGCCTGGTGCAGCTGTCGTAAGGAGACCCCGGATCCTGGCAGGCCCAGGGCTCCATCCATCTCGTGTCGAGCGCTGTGACTCCGGAGGAATTTCTGGCAGATGTCTGCCCGAGATAAGGGACCACACAGCGCGTGGCTGCGGATCGTGTGTGCGCCGTCACCCAGCCCCCAATTTAATATCCACCTCTCCTGGGCTTTGGGATGTCTTCCTGCAGGAATGGGAGTGCCCTGCTCCTCTGGGGGACTGAATCACCTATAGCAAGGGAACGACTACAGGAATAAAATGCCGAGGGAACACTTTTTGCAGATTTACCTCCAAGATCTGCTTATTTCATGCTCCATAGTAGAAGGAATAAATAGAAAGGCAGGCACTGACTCTTTGCCCCATCACTGTTGCTGTTCCCAGCCCAGCTGGGCTCCTTGGACTCTTCATGGAATCACAGAATCATTTAAGTTGGAAAAGCCCTCCAAGACCATCAAGTCCAACCATTCCCCCAGCACTGTCAAGGCCACCACTAACTCATGTCCCCAAGTGTCACATCTATGTGGCTTTTAAATCCCTCCAGGGATGAGGACTCCAACACTGCCCTGGGCAGCTGTGCCAGGGTCGAACAGTCCTTTTGGTGAAGAAATTATCCCCAATATCCAACCTGAACCTCCCCTGGCATGACTGGAGGCCGTTTCCTCTCCTCCTGTCCCTTGTTCCCTGGGAGCAGAGTTCGACCCCCCCCTTGCTCCCCCCTCCTGTCAGGGAGTTGCAGAGCCAGAAGGTCCCCCTTGAGCCCCCTTTTCTCCAGGCTGAGCCCCCCCAGCTCCCTCAGCAGCTCCTGGTGCTCCAGACCCTTCCCCAGCTCCATTCCCTTCTCTGGACACAAAACCAGCGTTGGATCCTGGCAGGTCTGAATGCAGAAGGAAACAGCCCCACAAAAAATGGGTTTTTTAGGGGCTGCATTCCCTGCACCTCCTGGAGACTTTGAGCTGCCCTAACCTGGGCTGGGATGAGCCCCATGTGATCCTGCAGAAAGCATGGAGAGAGGATGCTGCAGCCTTCACTCAGGGTGAGCGTGGCATTGCTCAGCTCAGCATCCTTCTGGACTGGGTTTTATGGGACCGAAGGCAACACGATTTTATCACTTTCATTAATTCAGCAGAGATCAGACACAACCAGCCACCTGCAAAACTTAATTTCCTTGTTCTTCCCTTTTTTATCTGTAATTTTTCCAAGCAGAGGCAGCAGCCAGGAGGGACCCCAGCTTTGGCCTGAGTGGTTTGCAGCAGCAGAAGAGCTCGAGATTCACCTGGACAGTGCACAGGTAACGATGATCTTTGCTGTGCTTTGTGCTGAAATCCCTGTAAGACTCTTTTTTGAGCCAATCCAATTAACTAAAAATGCCACTGGCAGCATGTTCTGTATTGACACAGCTGAGAAGCACAGCCCATGTTCTCCCCTGGCACATCCTTTATTTAAGGCCTCAGCTCTGGATTTGGGGTGAATACACCAGACACTGGCTTTTCCATGGATGCAGAGGAGAGCTGCACGGGATGCTCTGATTCAGAGCAGGCCATGAGAACCAGGGTGGTGTCACCAGCCTCACTTGGTATTTGCCAAATATTTGCAGATGTGGAGTCACAGTAAAGCAGGGAGAGGGAAGGCGTGGGCTGTGTTGATTCTGTACCTATGGGGGTGCTGTTATCTGCAAATAACCCCTATGGATACAAGTGGAGCTCCTGAGGGGATCGTCCTGGCCCTCTGCCTGGGTTGGTCTCTCTGCCCTTGCAGGTGGGTGGTCCTCATCCTGCTCTCCACCTACAAGGCTCTCCAAACCCCACCAAAGCTCATTTTATATCCTCCACAAGCTGTGATTACACAGCAGCTTCCGTGGAGGCGGATGCTCCTGGGACACTGGCACAGCTAAAACCCGCGGCACGGCAAAACCCTCCAAAACAGGGGCTGCAGGATCCTGTTTTGGGTCTGTTTTGCCAATAGAAGAGCTGAGGGAGGAGGTCTGAAGAGCCATTTGTAGAGTCTCTATAGAGTTTCAGGCTATAAAGGGATCACTGGATGATCTAATCCAGCCTCCCATCTATCATAAGTCGCTAAATAGCACCTCGGGAACAGGAGCCAAAATGTCTCGTCCAGAAAGGTCCTCGGTCTTGATTTAAAGACGTGAAGAGACACAGGACTTGCCACTTCCTTGCTGGCTCCTTTCACCGGTTACTCACCCTCTCTCTTACAACACGCCTCCAACTTCTATATTTAAAGATTTTCTGGCTTGACCTTCCAGACATTACTCCTTGTTATTCCTTCTTTGGGGCAGAACACACCCAGCGAGACCTGGTGCCCAGGAAAATACTCTCAAAAGCCCAAAACACCACTTCATTTTCCAAGCGAGTTGTATGGATTCGAGCTCCACCTGAGCCTTCTGAGCACCTTTGGTCTATTTTTTTATTTTGCATCCCCTCCCACCGGTGTCCCAGTTAAAATGCAAACAACTGGATGCAAATCCCAGCACAGACCTTGTTAACATCGAGCACCATGATGTTAATGTGAACAACCACCTCGTCTAGCAGGAGGGACAATTGTGGTGCACCTTAAAACACCTTTTTCTTGTGCATAATTGTGGGGAAAAAATTAAGATATGATGCCCATGCAGCCCAAATCACCCCTGGGTAAACCTGGCTCTGGGCTCATCTGCATGTTTTATGAGGTTTTGCTTCGTAGAGAGCTGAAAATGGGTGGAAATTACCAAGTATTTAGAAGGTGACATGGAAATCTCTCTTCCCAGGTCTATGAAAGCAGGACAAAATATTTTTAGCACCTTCTGGATAGAAAACCTGGTGGGAATGGCTGCTGTGAGCAGGGCTCCATGGTGCAAGGAGAGACTGGGAATGTGTCTTATGGGGACAGAGGGAGGGGATGCAATGGATGTATGACAAGCAGGGAGCTGGGGCCAGCTGAAAAGCCAGAGGGAAGGGAAAGGGCATGGAAAAGTTGGAGAGGAGAGCTCTGGGCACACAGGATTTTGGCTGCCACTGCTGGCAGTGATGTCCTCTGCTCCCAGCCACAGGGAGTGGTGTAGCCAGCCCCCCATCCCGGGTTCTCAGCACACCTCGCCCCCATCATCACCTCAATCCCCAGACACTGCACTTTTCCCCACTTGGCTTTTGTTTTCCCTCCGGCAGGAAGAGTTTTCTCCTCTCAATTAGCAGCCCAACAATCTCCCCAACGGCCCATAAAATAATTAAAATGAGCCCCAAACTGGAACAACCTTTGGCCCTCCCGTCCCGCTCCCCATCGCTCAGATTAACACATCAACTCTGCATCATTAATCTCCAAACTGCGCTGTTGAAGGAGCAATTTGTGTCCAATAACCAATGGAGCAGGTATTAAACATTCCTTAAGCACATGGGACACGAGTTACTCATTACAGAGGCAAACGTGTTGAAACATTAAGCAGAAAGCAGGGACCGTAAAACGCCCCTTCCCAGGCTTTTTGATTCCATGCCTGCTTGAGCACACGTGTGTCTCCTGGTTTTTTTAAGTGGATAATGTGACTACCTTGTGGGGCGTCAGGTTCACGGGAAGATAAGATGATGCCACCCTCTTCTTGGGATGGAGAGGGACCAGTGGCAGGCTCAGAACCAGGGAAGCTCTTGGGGAACACTCCTCTTACAACCTTCCCTTACCTGATCAAGTAGCAACAGAAGAGCAAACTGAGGATGAAGACGAAGATGGCCGTGCCGAAAACCACGATGTATATGTTGAGAGGAAGGTTCTGGAACCCGATGTTCGGCATCCTGAAACTGTAATGCTGGAAGTCCGAGCTCATGGGTAGGCTGTGGAGACAGGAAGAAAACACATGGATGTGAGGCTCTTTCAGGATGCACTCTGGAGACCAGCAGTCCCTCCAAAGGGAGGCGGAGGGGGAAGAAGGTGACTTCTCACTCGTCCCCCTCTGAGGTGAAGCCATCCTTGCCCAAAACTGAGCCCCCAGCTTGGTAAACCTGAAAACAAAGCAGGCTGGATCAGCCAGGGCTGGGATTTTCCCTCTCCCGCTGTGAGCTTCTCCTCCAGCTATTTTCCTTACACACGTCACCCTTCCAGTTGAACGCTGCATCAGATGGATGGCTGGGAATTGCATCCAAGCAACCCTAGTGTCCCTCAAACCTCTCAGTAACGGGGTAAAAATACTGAAAGCAGCCAGAAAGCCTTGGAACAAGGCAGTTTTTCCTTCCTTTCCCCTCCAGCAGTTTCCAAGACCGATTCCTCATCTCTTACAATCCCCCCTCCAAAAGCATTGAGGGTCTGGCATGCAGTGCATCGCCAGCAGAAGGGAGAGGACACGGACATTCCCAGGCCATGCAGCAGCACCGCCGAGCGAAATCACAGGGAGACTATGGAGTCTGTAAAAGAGGCTTTGTTTGTTTTCCTGTGTGAGATCCGGGTTTGGTGGTTTAAGAGCATTTTTGCAGGTTTCAGCTTTAACTCCCCAGCACAACCCCCCAGGAAAACCCCGAGGCACCGGCGGCCAAGAGGAAGGCGCGGCGATTTTGGCTGTCGCGTACCACGCCTGGGACGCGTGACCAGAACCTCCCTCCCCTCGGAGAGCCCCGGTTAAACCCCGAGCAGCTGCCTGGGATAACGACTGCGGTGTATCATCTCCGCCCCCCCCCCCACGATTTTAATTGCACTTATTTATTATTCCTTATCTTTCCATCGTTCTCTCCGAGCCGTTCGCCCTCGGATGAGCCCAACCGTCGCTGGCCAGGCACAGAGTTCCCCCGCCCCCAGCTCAGAAAAGGAAGTTACAAAATACACCTTGTTTTCCCTTCTGCCCACGGGAGAGGGCTGGACGCGGCGTGCGATGAAGTTTGGCAACAAGCAAGGAAAGTACCTGCAGTCTGAACGCTGTTTGCCAAATAAAATCACCGAGGGATAACAAAAGCCTCCCCTGGAGCGGGGAGTTTTCGACGGCGCAGCAATTGCACAGCTCCTTGTTTTGCACGGGGTGAGAAGACAATGGGGAAAACGCAGGATCTCAACCCAAATGTGCCAGGGAGCGATGCTCCAAAATCAGAGTGTCCTCTGAGTGTCCCTTCAAGCAGCATCCTCACTTCTGAATCTCTTTTTCCCCTTGAGGTCTCTTTTTTGCCGAACCCTTTGGGCTTTCTCCTCTGTCTTCCCATCATAATCTCCAGGTCTAGACTCACCTTTCATCCCGGCTGCCCCACAGGCTCTATCTCCTCACCAGAGGCAGCATTCCCACAGGCACCGAACACCCGCCCGGGAGCCTCCTTGCTCCGGCTGCTTTCAGTTTCCTCAGCTCGCTGGAAGTTTCGAGGCGACTTCTGGTAGAGCCTGGATTTGATTAAAGCCTCCAGAGACCAACACGCATGTTCAGAACCTCTCCCAGCCAACGTGGAAACGCCGCAAGAGCTCGGGAAGCCGGCACATCCCCCCGCCAGCGCCGGTGGGGATGGGATTTTATAGCCCAGCAACCACCCGGCAGCTCCCGCTCCTCCACCGACGCTTGTTCCGCTCCGCTGAGCTGGTTTGCTTTGCAAATAAATAAAAAAAAAAATCTCCCAAACCAGCCCCCAAAACCTTTGTTCCCGGCTCCGGCGGAGTTAATGCGCAGCTCAGCATCGCGGAGCAGGGTTGGGTTTGGTTCTCAGCCCCGCTCTGTTTCCTGGGTCAAAGGGGTCTTTGGACGGTTCAGGGACTCCCCTGGGTCACGCTCAGAGCACGAGGATGTGTCTGCAGGACGAGGCTTTGGCTGCCCCACCTCGCCCTGGGGCTCGTGTTGATAATCACCGGCGTCGGCCAAGGTTGGCCGCCTCCAGCCCCTCAACCACCCCGGAGAAACGTCCTCCATCTGGGAAAGTTCCGGATGGTTTTTTTGCAAGGAAGAAGAGACCACTCTTGGAAAAGAGGCAACAAAACCAACCGGCACAGGACTATCATTTTTCTCTCCTTTACAGCTCCTTTAACTTCTGATGCTCTTCTGATCAGCGCCAGGGTTTTGGCTCAGCAATTCCACCAGGAGATTCCATGTCAGAGGCGGTGGGCAAGGAGGATCCAGGCTGCATTTAGGGCAGCAAATCCCAGGAAGCCTGAAAAATTCCGGACGGTTGTGTGCACCTGAGCTGTGCTGCTCTTGTACCAGTCCCCAAAACCATCACAGCCCTTGGCAAATAAACAGTTGGCAGAAACAGAGCTCCGACCCACTCCCAGCATCCTACTCTCTCCTTCCAATGGAACCACTTCCCAAATATTTTGTCTCAAAAGGACATCACCGATGCAGCCATGACCTACCTGCCGGCCATGCCGTGGGGGCTCAGCCTCCCAGGACAACCCTTCAGTCCCCCACGGTGCAAGTCCAGCGAGTCCCACACCAGATTCATCCAACACCCACATGGAATAACCTTCTCCACATCGGAGCTGCCCTGGTCCTCCCTCCCTCCTGCTGCAACAGCTGAGAAATGTTACAGCAAAAAACACAGAGGTTAAAGGGGGAAAATCAGTTATCCTGCCCAGGATCCAGGAAACTGTTAACTTTAAAAGACTCCAGTGAAATCTGATGATTCCAAGCAGCCAAGCTTTGGGGTTGGGTTTTTTTAAGGCGAGTGTGGGGGGGAGGAACTGTATTTTAATCTGCTTCAGATTTGCGAGAGAGCAGCCAAAAGAAATAAAAAAGGAGGCATAAAGAAGGATGAGAAGTTTCTGGTGCAGAACAAAAGCGTCCCTGTTGCTCTCTCCGTGGCCAAGGAATCTCAGAGCGGAAAGGTGATGCTTGTGGGGCACCCACGGCCCCCAGGAGGTCCCTGCATCCCCCACAATGGGGGGCACAAGCTGCATATAGGAAAGGGGCACTGGTAGAGGTTTCCCAGAGAAGTTGTGGCTGTCCCATCCCTGGAAGTGTTCAAGGTCAGGTTGGATGGAGCTTGGAGCAATCTGGGATAGTAGAAGGTGTCCCTGTCCATGGCAGGGGGGTGGAACAACATGGTCTTTACGGTCCTTTTCAACCCAAACCATACCATGATTCTGTGATTCTGTAGCATATAGAGCATAACAAGGAACAAGTGTGCTGGGATGCAGAGAGCCAGAGGGGGCAGTGCCACAAGGCAGAACAACCCGAGCTCCACGTCTCCTTCCTTCCACCCTCCAGTGTCTCAGCCACGTGGGGCCAGGCACGTCCAAGTTTCTCCAGAGAGGACAAAACCGGGCCTTAATTAAAAGCCAGGTTGTGGTTAATGGGCTATCGAGCAGTCAGGAAGGGAGTGTTACAGGTCAGCCTGAGCTCGCCCTTTGATTACACCTTGGGCTGTTAAAGGCAAACCTCCAGAAGCCAAATTAATCCCCATTAGAGCCAGAGCGGGCACTTAATGCGCGGGGCCAACCTCTCACCCAGAGCGTCCCTCAGAGATGGCAGAGGGATTAATGAGGGAGGCAATTATCTTCTCACAGGTAGAGACACTGAGGCAGGGAGGAGGGGAGTGAGGCAGAATCCCTGAGCAGGGGGGGTGGCACCAGGGATGCCGCTGTAGGTGACGCCATGAGCATCACCCAAGGGCTGAAAGCCGCAGATTTTTGCTTTCCTGCTGCTTTGCCACATGGATTTGAACTGCGTGCTCCTTCTCGGGGTTTTACTTATTAAAAGGAGCTGCTTGTCCTCTTTTTAAAAATTTTATGATTATTTATTTATAACATCAGTGCACAAAGGGGCCAGGCAAGTGCTCTGCATCGTCATGCCTAAATACAGCCCATGCACAGGGTGGAGGGGTGGCTTCTGCCTCTGCTGTTGTGAACAAAACCCCATTTTTAGAAGGATTTAAGTTATGTTTTCAAGAAAAACAACTTTCTCTGCAGGGATTCAAAGCAAACTCAGACTGGATCTCCTCAGCCATTAACTGGGGAAACTGGATGAAGCTGTTGGTCTGAGCAGCATCCCATCAGCCAGGCTGGCGAGGCCAACCCATCTCCAGGAAACACTGAGCTTTAAAAATATAGCAGAGCCAGACACAGGCAGGTCTGGAATCACGAATCTCAGGGAAGAGCCAATGCTAAGCCATGGCCAAACTCCAAGTTGAAACATTTTATCGATGGGAAAGATTTCAAGCGGGCGTGAACGGCGTCTCGAGTTTCAAAGGCGTTTCGCAACGTGTTTCAGACAGGTTTAACCAAAAGCCTTATTAACTCGGTTGAAAGTTAAACTGGGAGCAGCTGACAAGACCTTTCTGAAACAGCCCAAGTTGTGCTGCAAAGCGGGGTATTCTTCCATGGAATGATTCCACAACAGGAGGGTTATTTAATGGCTATGAGTAGCAGGATAATATTTAAAAGAAAAGGATTTTTCCAGGTGTTAAGAAGCAGCGGCCGGAGACGCCTGCATTTAACTCGCAGGCAAAAAAATCCCCCTCGTGAACCCCAAAAGCAAAGCGAAGCCCTGACCTCAAGCAGCTGGAAGGAATTTCCTTCAGCTCCATCTCTGGAGCTGGTCCAGCGCCAGGATCCGCAGCGATGGGAAAATCACAGGCAGCTGCAGAGCCAGCCCCGAACCAGCACCGCTGTCGCCCTAGAGGTGCCACGCAGCTGCACTGCCTTTTCCCGGGATGGAGCAAGGGGAAATCTCAGTGCTCCAGGTGGGAGCGATTGCCTTTGCTGTCCCAAACCAGGGAACAACTGGATTAAGAGTGAGGGGAACGCAAAAACTCTTGGCATGCTGTGATTTTATAAAGTTACGATGGTACCGTGGGGATGGTGCTGCATCCAGCGCCAACTCTGAGTATCCAACCTGACCCATATCCTTCATTCCAAACATCTGGCAGTGAGTGGA